GTAATGACTGCTTGCTTGTAAATGTTGGTAAAGCCCTTGCGCGTGTGTGTCTAGGGAAGAGGCTGCAAAGGAAGAGAGTCAACATGACCTGAAAATCCCTAGCCAGCAACCAATTGGATAATACTGTATTATAAGAGCAAGATCAGAAGAATAGATGCCAAATGCATAGTTTTGGGGGGCCAGCACTTCCTACGCTGGGAGCCACCCCCTTATAGTTTGCACCCTGCTGATGTCATGGCCTTGTCATGAAGTTTCTAACCCACCAAACCTTTCCTTCTCTTGTACATAGAACCATCCGGCCTTACAAGGTGGTTGTATGCAAAGATAAACCCAGGCTGGCCATCTAAAACGATCAAGGGTTGGAACACCTTTGCTAGAAGGAAATGCTGAAGTATTAAGGGTTTCTGATTTTTAATATGTAAAAGCAAACAGAACTTGGTAGAAGTTTATTGACACTGTATGGCTAGAGAGAAATCTTGCTTTCTTTTAGACTACTACAATGTAAGGTCATCTAGCAAAACTGATTGCTGCTAGGATGTAGGAAGACAGACCAACGCATGTCTTCTTCACACATTGAATCAACTTATGCAACTCCCTGATGCAAGATACGGCACTAGCCAGTATAGATGAGTCTTAAACAGATAGACTGGGAAAATGAATAGACAGACCTATTAGTGGCTGTTAGACCTGTTAGACCCCAATGCTGTTGGGTGTGGCCTATTATGCTAAATGCAGGGCTATTTTTGGGCAGGAACACACAGGAACGGAGTTCCGGCTGGCTCCCGAGTTGGCCACGCCCAGCAGGAACTCATTAGCATAATAGGCCACATCCAATAGCAGAAACTCATTAGGATTGGCTACATTAGGGGTGTGTGGCCTAACATGCAAAGGAGTTTAAAAAGCCCTGGGTTTTGACAACAAACAAGGTAAACAGAATAAGAAGGGAAAGGTGGGTGTGTCTGGATGACCACAGTTCTGGTAACATGGTGGTGTTGCCTAATGTGCTAATGAGCGGTGCTGCCAGGGTGTGGCCTAATATGCTAATGAGTTTTGCTGTTGGGTGTGGCCTATTATGCTAATGAGTTCCTGCTGGGCTTTTTCTACAAAAAGAGCCCTGACTAAATGAAACCTTTCGACAGAGACAGAATACCAAATGCTGCGGCCATGCTACTGGATGGGGGAGTAATTTCCCGGGGAGATCTGGGAAATATAGGTCTGTTCCAGTAGAGAACTTATGAAGAGAAGGCAGCTTCATATAGAAATGGCCCCTTTAGGTAGCTAATGCCTTTGTACGAAGTAAATAAAGATAACAGCCACTTACAGGCTCACCTGCTTTCTTTCTGGCTTTCAAGAAGACTCACTGCTTGTGGCTATATTAGCTCAGGAACAGGGGGTGAAGGCCCAATGGAGAAAGTAAAGGTATCATAGGCTGCACACTAAATAATCCACTTTCAGTGCACTTTCTAACTGGATTTTGCCAGTTCACACAGTAAAATCCAGTTGGAAAGCGCACTGAAAGTGGATTATTGAGTGTGTGTGACTGCAGCCCAACATGGTGAAACAGACTTTGTCAGATCCTGATTGGGGAGATTTAGGTTCTAATCCCTGCTAAGCCAGGTAATTTGTTAAACTGTGTATGCCAACTTATGCTTGGCGTAGCCTACCTCACAAGGTTGTTGAAGATCTCATGTGAGGCTGCCCTGAGTTTCTTGGCCAAACACTGGACACAAGTGTGCTAAAATGGGAAAACAGCAATTGTTATTTGCCAAAAAGCACTAATGTTGGCTTATTCTTTTTCATCACAGACTTCATGTTAAACTAAACCAGCACGTCACTTGCTCAGTCTAACGTATGGTGCATTCCTAGCCTAAGGAAATATGGAACTGAAGGAGAGCAGCTTAGGGTTATGACCAAAAAAAACCCATACCACCACACTATATTTGGTGCTAATGTGTTCCCTCTGAGTTGGTGTGAGCTAGCTCAGTTTTTTAGCCTCCAGCTCAAACATTTTTGGTCTTAGCTCAGGAAGGAGGGCTCCAGAGCAAACTGATTTATGCAGCAGCCAAATCCCTCACTCACATCTTTAATGCCAGTCGCTCACAAAGTAGAATTTTTGCTCACAAGACTCCATAGCTTAGAGGGAGCATTGTTTGGTGCTAATGTGTTCTCTCTCAAATTTTACCTGCCTGCTAAATAATAAGTTTAATTATTGTTTCTCAACCTACTGTGAAGAGAAGATGAATGTCCTGTGATGACTGAACCTCAGATTTAGGGGACTTTTTCAGCCTCCTGCCAATTCCAGGATTTATTCGAACAGTTCTACTATCATTCCTCAATCCCCTCCCCACATTCTAGTTCCTGTGGACAGAAACTTGAATGCCAGTCAGTACTACGGCATATTAAAAAGTTACATGTCCGGCTGCAGGAAAGAGAGACGTGTTTACATGCCCAGCTGCAGTGCATGCTGCAACAGGGAAGCCTGACCCATTGCAGGGATCTTCTTGGAAAAAGAAGACCCATGCCTCAGCGAGAATATGATTAGCTGCTGCCCTCTACCCACGGCCAATGTATCTGCGCACCTGGGGCAAGCTCAGAGAATCACAAAGGGAAGAACCAAGCAATTAATTGACTCATCACTGATTCTGTATTTAGCTGTAGGACAAAACTAGAAGAGATTGGATTTATACCCCGCCCTTCACTTGGAGTGTCAGAGCGGCTTACAAACTCCTTTCCCTTCCCCTCCCCACGACAGACACCCTGTGAGGTGGGTGGGGCTGAGAGAACTCTGACACAAACTCTTTTTCAAGGACAGCTGTGTCAGAGCTTGTGCCTGACCCATCAGCAGGTGCAGGTGGAGGAGTGGGGAATCAAACCCGGTTCTCCCAGATTAGAGTCCGCACACTTAACCACACCAAACTGGCTCTCTACCAACTACATTTTTATAAGGAGGTTGCAGTTGCGAACAGAGACCCCATGTCAAACCCTCCCCTCTCCCTTCTACAGTGTTTAGAATTTCTCATCTGCTGATGGCGTTTGTCCATCCCTGTGAGTCACTGATATAGATGGGGGCGGGAAAGCATTTCCCGGAATGAAACCAGAGCACAAAGCAAGATGGGAGAAGCGGCAAACTCTACACAGGGCTGCCCTTTTTAGAGGCAGCCCTGCGTCCTTTGCAGGGGTCATTTTGTAGAAAAAGAGGTGCAGCAGCTCATTAGCATAACTCATTAGCATAACTTATTTGCATATACCACCACCCCCTGACATCACCAGAAGTGTGTCGGAAGGCAACACCCACCGCTCAGGCTCCACTGGGCTGTTTTGGATTGCTAGCTATTGGGGGGGTGGAAACGTGCAGATCTGTCCTCACAGAGGGAGAGCTTGTACCTGAATAAAACATGGCCTTAAAGGTGCCACTGGACTGTTTTAGGCTGGGGGGGGGGAGCTCTGCAACTTACCTGGCTGCTTCTTGCTCTGACTGAGGGCTGCTGGGAGCAGGGGGTGGGGCTTGTTGCATGTGCCCGCCCCCTGGGCTCTTTACTGCCGGAGCTCCGCTCCTGTGCGCTCCTGCAGGAAATGACCCCTGATTCTTTGTAACAATCAGTTCTCTCCTCAGGACTCAACAGTAAAACGGGGTGGGGGAAGTGATTGGGCAGACCAGACTTAGATTCTTCGGCACTTTTTTTTAAACAGCTGTCTTTATTATTTAAGAATAGCACGTTACCAAAAAAAATATATACAGTTTTCCAGGCTTTTAAATCGTTACTTGCAGGAAAAAAAACAACCCATAGAAAAAAGGTTACCAAAGAGACTGGTATAAAAAACACACGAGACAGATCAAAAAAGATACAAACTTGTCTAGGAAGAACACAACCAAGGGAAAAAGGCCAGAGAGGCGGTTTGTACAAAACTACTGTTTACAGGTATAGAATATATAAAATGTTCCCTATCTGATGGCAAAAATACAACTGGACATTTACTTATTTACTCTTTAGAATAATAAAAAAAAGGTACACCAAGAGGTAATGTGTGGCATGTAATCTTGGTAAGCAGCCCTGTCACCTTCAGACCAGAATCCCCAGCTGCACCCTAACTTTGCTGATAGCAGATGCAATGACCAAGAGCAGCCGCTGTGTAACACCCATTCGCATCAATGAGGCACCCACTGAGACAAACACAAGGCTGCACAGGGGTTGCGTGCAGCGACTGCAGCCCTGGTGGGCAGCAGGAGAACAATGGGATCCCCCCCCCCAACGGGGACTATGAGATTGACAATGACGGTCTCAGCCGAGTTACACCCTTCCAATCTCGTTGACATCAATGGAGTGGGAGGGTGCTGAGGATGGCACAGCAGGAGTCCCTCTCTCATTAAGCTCCGAGACACCCTGGCGAGGAAGAATCGAGGTGCTTTGGGCTCCGTAAAACGTCCGCCTGTCGTATGCACATACCAAAAAAGCTGCCATTGGCAGCACACCTTACGTACGCTTCATACAGAATCCAAACCGATTCTATATGCTGTCCTGCGACACCGGATGGGCCTCCGTTATAAGTAGGCTTTCGGGAGGAGGAGGAAGCGTTCCAGCTTGGACGGCCCTTCAACTCCACCACTTATGGCTATCAACAACAACAAAAGAAGGGAGGGGGGAGAAAGGCGGAGAGGATTCCATGGGAAGAATTTAATACAGTACATACAATAGCTGCAAAGCTCAGTAGACATATATATATATATATAATATATATATGCATGTATATATATTTGTTCACTGCACCAGTGGGAAAGGCTTATAAATATACTTACGGTATAAAAAAACAGTTTAACCAATAATTATAAAAGAGCTTTAAACAAGTCCTATTGTACCTAAATTCTACAAAGAGCTCCATCTTCCTTTGTCGTTCGAGCATCCGGTCAACCAATAGCTGCTTCGCTTGCTCAAAAAACCCCAGGGTACGGATCCTTTCCTGCTCCTGGGATGTAACGCGACAGTCAATCTTTATTTCGGGATCTCTTTACAATTTCGTTCACAGGCCACGAAAATGAGAAGGGGGGGGAGAGGAAGGGTGCGTGCTGGCTTTCATGGGGCTGACTCCAGGCAAGCCCCCCAAAGTGCTCTGGCCTTCTCCCCCCCGCCCCGTCGGATTCCATTCCTACCGTCCGCCTGCGAGAGGCAGCGGCAGAAGAGGCACGGACCAAGAAGCCTCTCTAGTAGGCAAATATCTTGTTGTTCCAAGGGACAGGGCAGCAGGCCCTGGGCTTCCAGGGGAAAGCACAAACAAAACATTAATCAACAAACCACTCGGACCGAATGGATTTCGAATGCTGCAAAGAGCTTTCGACTGAACATCAGCAAGAAGGGATCGTTCCTTTGCCACCGAGTGTCACTTGTTGCAGAACTGAAGGGAAGGATGGGCCATGATGGAAAATACAGCAAGGGGCTTCTCATGTGCTGGTGTTTCTATCGGAGCTTTCCATACCCGAGCATTTCTCTTCCCACCTGACCCTCAGAGGACTTAGAAACAAAGGGGCAGAGCTGTGTCTTACAACTGCTGTGGGGAAACAACTTGAGTTATCCACAGCCAAATACAGGACGTGTGGGAATTAAAGCATGCACACACATTTGGGAAACATCAGCCGATCGGGTCCCCAGATGTGTGCACGTGAGTGTTAAAGTATACAGGGACATGTATGCTGTATGCTGCAGAAGGAAAATTGCTGGTGTGTGCTGCAGCAGTGGTCACGTGCGGTGCTGTCCTTGCCAAATGCTGTGAAGCTAGCTTAAGATCATGGCAGGAACAGTGCAACCGCCCAAGTGCTTTTGTGCCACCCCCTTCCCATAGCTTGGCAGGTCTTAGATCATTTGCATGGATGAACTGTTTTAAAAAGGGCTCACAAGTAAAACGAGAGAACTCCAGGGAGATCAAAAGATGTGTTTGTCGGCATCAGGGGAAAACAGGGTTTCAAAATGACCCCCCAAAAAGGCAAGTGTGCTTCTGAAAAGGTTCCACCGCACGTGGGTCCATGAAATGGAATTTTTTTTTAAAAAAATCCACAGACTTGTTTCTCTTTTTCTTCTTTTTTTTTTTTACAGAGGCTGTTAAGTACCAATGGAAATCCCACGCAGTCTGTATCTGAGATGGCTGAGAAGGGTAAAGGCCTATTTAGTCTCTGAAGGGTCCTGCGTTTGACGTGAAATCACAACAGCTTGCGATGGAGGATCTCCCAGACCATCCGCTTCCGGAAATAAGGCATGTGTTGCTTTAGCAAGAAGGAAGAGAAAAAGTAGTAAATCAACAATCCAGAAACTGATGCCGATGTCAGGGCTGAATGCACACTGGGCAAGTGGGAAATACACTGACAGAGTTATGTTCTGGTGCACAGTTGCCCAGGCCTCGGCAGTGCTTCAGAAATGCCACCAATGTTCTTTCGAGGTTTTGATCAGGCAACTCCAGCCCTACCACATTCTTACACATCCACAAATTAAGCAAAGTTTTCAGGAGAGGGGAGGAATTAATTGCGCCAAGATGTCATTGACAGTATCAGTCCTAGACAGCATGGACTCTGGTTCTTGGTGGAATGAAAGCACGAGAGGGCAAGGGGGGGGGGTCACACTCTTAATGAGTCTAAAGCAATAGAATGAACGTATTAAGATAGTTGAAATACAAGATCATTATATCTCAGACACATATGAAACATTACTACTGTGTTCAAAAGGACAAAATACAAGTCGAAAAATGATTTTGACATCATAGAAGCGAGTGCCTACCAACTGGGGACTGGTTGTGTTCTCAGAACTGCATTTGCTCTATAGGGCAAAGTTGCTCATCATCAGTATCCTCAAGCCCCTTCTGACTGCCCAAGAACAAGTGTCCTGCCTCGGGGATACAAATAGATAGGTAAGGGGGAAGTCTTCCCTTTGGACTCTGTTCGATCTCTCAGTGTTCTCTGATGTGTTCAATCACTTAAATTGCTTTGGATCAAAGAGTGATTAACACATGGAATTCACTGCTACAGGAAGTGGTGGCGGCTACAAGCATGGACGGATTCAAAAGGGAATTAGATAAGCGTATGGAGCAGAGGTCCATCAGTGGCTATTAGCCACAAGGTATAGATAGGGACTCTGGGGCAAGTGATGCTCTGTCTTCTTGGTGCTTGGCGGGGTCAACAGTGGGAGGGCTTCTAATGTCCTGGCCCCACTGGTGGACCTCCTGATGGCACCTGGTATTTTTGGCTACTGTACGACAGAGTGTTGGACTGGATGGGCCTTGGCGTCACTTATGTTCTTATTGCTTAGATCACACGGCAGGAGTTGACAGTGCCGTCCCTCGAAGAGTTCTATTTTTTTAATCTTGTGAACACACAGGCTATTCTTTCCCAATGACATGGCATTCTAACAAATGGAGTGGCCCTAACCTTATCAGATCAGGACTTATTCCACTTCTGGAGAAACACGTGGTCACTGTTGCTAAGACTGCTCTCTTTCGTTTGCATTTAGCCTGGTGGAATGATCTCCTTCTAGACTGGGTTGGCCTCACTACAACTGATCCACGCTTATGTGTCTTCCAGGTATGTCTACTGCGATGTGCTCTACACGGGGCTGGCCTTGAAGACAACGTGGACCCTTCAACTGGTACAGAACGCTGCAGCCCCTCTCTCCTTGCTGGACAGCACACACACACACACACACACAAACACGCAGCTTGTCCTGTACCAGTTACGCTACTTACTAATCTGCATTTGGGTTAAGTTTATGGTGTCTGTTTTAACTCTGAAGACCTTCATGGCCCAGGGCCCGTATACCAAAGATCCAAAGATCCACTGCCCCCCCCCCCATATGTACCAATTAATCAACTGAGATCAGAAAAGCAAACCCCATTGACCTGCCCTGGTAAGATCTTGTTCTATGAGGAATGGGGCTTTTTGGACAGCTGCCCCTTCATTCTAGGATAACTCCCCTGAGAACATGCAGAAAGGCACATCTCTTCCATCTTGCTGCAAAACACGTTTGTTTCAGTTCGCGTTTAGCAAATAAGGTTTTATGGTCGTATTCCCCACTTTTGATGATTTCATGGTCTGTTGCAATAAGTGTGCTGCTTTGTGCTGCGTTCGTTTTTATTCTGCCTGTTCAATGGATCTTACTGTGCGGCTGCTTTAAGGGCAGGGAAGAAGGCGTACCAATCTTTAGCACAAAACAAAAACATGTCAATCCTCGCTGTGCAGCCTTATAGCAGAGGCACCCCAATCCTTCCTTTCTTCGTTCCCGATGGTCTTGCTCAGAACGTAACTTGAAAATCAGGATCTTGGAACCAGAATTCTACAACATCGCCATATCTACCTTTAATCAGGCTCTGATTTTGCATACAGGATTTGTGTTTCCTTGATGCTTTAAGTGCAATCCCAATTAAAGGCAGGAAGGCTCCACTGCGAACACATCAGCCCGACCCTTCTAGCCACAGAGCGACCCCTACCCCAGTAGGTTGGCTCACCTGAGTGAAGTTGATTGGCTTGTCTTTGGTAATGTAGTCAGCATATTTGCAAGCAAACATCCCACAGTCGCTGCCATTCATCTGTTGCGGGATCTCCTTTAAAGACAAACAAACCCAACCCTTTCTGTTTAGATGACAAAAAACCTCATGTTAACTTTATCAAATACTTGCGCTATAAACAGCTCCGAGTAATGGAAGGTTTGAGAAACCCAAAGAAGCCCCTCCAAACTTGGGATGGGGACGATATGAAACAGCAAGACTTCTGAATGAATGGAAACAAATAACCCACTATCGTTCTGGCCAAGGAGATGGGTTAGATTGGAAATACTTCACCTTGGCTAACAAGGAACGGTACAAAATGAGAGGCATGTGCCAGGATCCATGTGTAGAGAAGCCTCCAAGTGCCTGCACCCTGCTCATCAGTTCCGACAGCTGCTACAGGTCCCATGTTTTAGGCAAAGAGAGAACTGCCACCCGCTTGTCCTCCAGGAGTGCCTCACTACTTCTAGCTCAATAGTCGTTCCCAGCTGTTCCCCCATCTTGTTCTGTCATTGGTTGCTTTTGCCGGCTCTTCTAACTGCCTTGTTCTTCTTTGCCAGAAGCAAGAAGGGGCTGCCTGAAGGCACGTGGACAAACATTAATGGTAGTTCTGTCTCCAAGGAGAGAATTGGAAGAAGCCGCTCCGGTTGATGGTGCTTGCAGCAGCCACTGGAACAACTAATTGCCTCAGGCACTCAGAAGCTTCAGCACATGTGGAGTTTCGAATCCCAAGCTATTCTTTCAGCCAGATCTAAGACATGGGTCCTTTAAACTGGCAGTCATGGCACATATAGGCCCAAACAGCTGCATACGGATGGGTAACAGACTGAAAAAAAGAGGCTTTCTGTTCTTCCCTAAAGAGCAGGGATGTGCACACAGGCTGCAATGAATCACATACATTATTTTGGACCCTTTTTGTGCAGCCGGCCAGATCGGGCCAACATACCTGGCTCCTTTTACTCAGCAGCATCCAGCCATTGGTATCAAATTCCTTTCGCTTTTTGTCCAGGCTTTCCTGCTTTAGGTACTGCCTGCAAAAGTTGGGAAAGAATGAGAAAGAACATGTTTAGCAAGTAAGGAACCAACAATGAAGTTGTTCCACTTAATTCTCTGAATTTTGGAAATGCCTCTTTCGCAGCCCAGTTCAAAAGCTCAACTTGGCCCCAAAACATTCATCGCTGAAGGTTTAAAACCGCAAAAATGTCAACGGATGAAAGACCTGTTTGCCAAACACAATCCCCATCCCAACCCCTGCTTTACTCCAGATAAATGTAACCCATTCAGCCTGGTACGCCTCTGATAAACAAAGTGAACTGCTTTAATTACACACTGTACTGTTTGCAGGTAATTTTTGCGGCTGATACCCTGCAATATGGGTCTCAGGACAGGCTTCAACACAGCACTTCCACACAGGGCATGTATGCTGGTAACTATTTTCACCTCTCCTGGGGAATGCTCCTTTTTAAAGACACGCGTCAAGATTGCATCGGTCCTTTCTGTCACTGAACTGAACCAAGAGGTCAGATGGGGTCACTCTTCTGAAAAAGCTACACAGCCGGTCCCATATATACCCAAGAGAGGCCTTTGGGCTGTGTTTGCTGAGAAGCAGCCACCTACATCCCTCAGAGCTCTAAGGCAGGCCACCCAAAACCTCTCTTCCAACAACAGACCTTAAAAAAAACCCCACTAGATATGCATAAATTGTTCAGCTGGCCTCCAGTAGGTCTTTGGGATCCTGAGCTCTGTTTTTAGACAGCAAGAAGAGGATTACTTACAGGTTACACAGGGAGCAGAGTAATACAGATCACACACATAAGAAAGACAAGTCATATAGCAAAGCCAATTCTACAGTTACAGCAACTCCAGAGTTGTCTCCTCTCAGACCGTCTCTGTAGTAGTGAAATCCCCCTGCATTGATGGTTTTAAATCTGTGCGTTATGTGAAATTTTCTGCAGTAGATTTTTCCTCGCCAGGCACAAACTTTAAGTTTTCTCCTTCTTTCCCCGCATTTTTGGAATTTGCTAAAACTGAGGATTCTGAAAGCTCAGGGAAAGGAGGAGAAAACTTTGGGTTTGCACCGGGTAAGGAAAAATCTTACTGCGGAAAATTTCACATAACGTGCAGATTTCAAAATGTCAATGCAGGGAATTTCACTACTGCAGAAATGGTCCCAGATAAAGAGAGACATCTAGGAGCAAGTCTAGCTGTGAATACAGACCATGGTGCCATACACACATTACTTCCAGTACCATACAGAAGACACACTCCACATGCCAAAGCAATGAAACCTTTCTGCGCAACCTGCCCCTGCTCCTCCTCTTGCACACTGGAGGTGAGGGGAGTCATAGCGGAAGTGCCACGAAGAAGGCAAATATACAAACACCTCAAACCGCCCAACACTAAGATAGGCCACTGATTAATTTAGTCCACAATGGTCTACTGGGAATTGCAGTGGTTCTCAGGCAGAAACCTCTTCAAGATTTCACGATTTCATTTTGACTCTGCCAGCGATTGAGTTGCATGACTTTGTCCCTACTGATCTTCAGAAGAAAGATACATTTTTTAAGTAGTCAGAAAATAAGCTATGAGATTTACAGCAACCCCATAAATCTCTCCCTTTTCTAAAAAGGGGCAGACAAATCATTTCCAAACTCACCAAAATCAGGAAGCTCTAAAGATTGAAAGCATGAAAGGGTCACTAACCATGAATAGGACCTCCGTCCCCTCTTCCCGGTGTGATCCTCCCACTGCATTCAACCAATTTAAAGCCTCCTGAAAGGAAATAGAAAAGGGAAAAGCGATTACAGGACGGGCAGCAACGATGAGCCGAAAGCCCGAGTCCTCATCCTACCTGTGGGCCTTAGCCGTCCCGCCAAACCTGCAGGGATAATAATTCTAACTATGCTGCTATCTCACTGGATGGAATCTGGGTTAGTTTGGCTGTCGCTATACCTTGCCATTGTTCCCATAACTTCAAGAACCATTATGGATGACAAGCAGTACAGGGATATTAATGGCTGGATGGCCAGACTTGTTTCAGAGAAGATCTATCAACAGGAGGTCCCTAACGTGGTGCCAATGGGTACCATGGCACCTGCTGACACTTTTCCTGGCATCCACCAAGTGTCTTTAGAGAGTAGGTGGGACCCACTGGGGCTTTTGCTCAGCAAGACTTCTGATTGGCTGAGGAGATTTTTAAAAGCATTGCTTTGACAGCAGCTGCCACCACAACACAAGGATCTTCCCTGTGAGACTGAAGGTAACCTGTAGCTGCTGTTTTATAGCTGGCTCCACCTCTTTCGGCAGCCATTTTGTGACAGACATTTAGCGGCTCCGCCCACCATGGTGTGTCGAAATTTCACATGTTCCCACAAGCTTAAAAAGGCTGGGGACTCCTGAACTGGCACAAGTGGCAGAAAAGCCACAACACCCACAGCTAAACTATTCCAATGATTAGTTTACAGAGCTTGCGACTGATTAAAAAAATATCTTATCCTGTGTGTACCTGAAAAATTAGCAACTCCTTAACCTTCCCACAGGCCCACTCAAAACAACCATCGGTTTTAATCAAAAGTGCTTACTATGGATACCGGCTAACTCTAGACAAGACTCAGCAAGCACCTGCCAGAGACAGCAGTTGCTAAAGGATGCCTCATTCCTGTTCGGCTCTTGTACACAGTGAGCTGAACCACAACACATCTGGTGCAGAACACAAATCACAAACAACATTTTCAGTCTCTCTTCTGTTCGTTATGCAGCGTGGGAGGCGGAAAATGCCGCTGGGAAATTAGAAGAAACAGCTTTGCCTGCTTGCATGAAAAGTGCAGGAGCTTATTTAGGCAAGATCTCGTGCAAGAGTCGGGGAGAAGGTGCTGTGGGACCAATTCTCCCTCCCGTTCATAGTTCTTAGAAGCCAAGTCTACGTCTGTAAGCCATCGGGGCAGCAGTGTGCCCTGAAGGGAGTTGCCCCCCCATTCTTGAGTGGGCTGCAAGTCAGTAATTTCTAACATCCTCTGTTTGCATTAGCACCTGCTGTAATTAGACATAATTTGTCAAATCGAGCCCGTTGCTGACTGTAACCATGTTCCCCCCAACTTGCTGTTTTCATCTACGCTACTGCAAAACTGGTTATTTGGCTCATTTTCGAAGTTATTAGCTACATGGCACAGTGGGCAAAGGATGTGAGCTCACTGTAAATGGGACTCTCTTGTTATTAACACTGTTTTGGATGGGGGGGGCAGCTTATCAATTTGGACTATTTGAAGAGCATTACATAGTTTGTGGGTGTTATGATGCCTTTTACTTAGGATTGCCAACTTCCAGGTGGTGGCTGGAGATCTCCTGGTATTACGACTGATCCCCAGGTGGCAGAGATCAGTTCCCCTGGAGAAAATGGCCACTCTGGAAGGTAGACTCTATGGCATCATACCCCACTGAAGTCCCTCCCCTCCACACACCCCGCCCTCTTCAGGCTCCACCCCCAAAGTTTCCAGTTATTTCCCAATCCGGACCTGGTAGGCCTACTTTTACTGCACGGATACAGACTGTGTTATTTGGAATTGCAAAATATATTAAAATAATAACCTAACTAGCAAAAATCACTCAAATCAGACTCCTGCGCCAGCATGTTACTTTCTCATAGCAACACAGGCATATCCCTGCTTCATGCTTAAGGCAGAACCTTATTGATACCTTTTATCGGATATCTGAGTTAAAGTGGCACTAACTAGTTTTGCCCTGACCTGGACAGAACAGGCTAGCCTGATCTTGTCAGAACTCAGAGGCTAAGCAGGGTCGGCCCTGGTCAGTATTTGGATGGGAGACCAGCAAGGAAGTCCAGGGTCACGATGCAGAGGCAGGCAATGCCAAACTCCCTCTTAACATCTCTTGCCATGAAAACCCCGTGGGGTCGTCATCACTCAGCTGTGACTTAACGGGGGGGGGGGGGGGGGGGAGAAGCTAGTTTTACCAGGGAAGCAGACAGGAAAACCAGGATATTCTAAAGGCAAAGAACACTAAGACATCTCAAACATTAAACTTGGAGTGCTTTAGCTACACAAGACTCCAGCGTAACATTTCCAAATTACCAAACCCCCCCCCCTCCACACAAAGTATCAGGCAATGTGCTGACACAGCTATAATACAGGACAGGAAATCCTGGAAGTAGGTAGTTGCCAGCTTTCTGGGGGCTGGGGACATACACTTTTCCACATCTTTATTTTCAGTATTAACGACATTTGCACCCTGCCCTTTTCTCCAATGGGATCCCCAAATGACTTACATAATTCTCCCCAGCTCCATTTTATCCTTACCACAACATTGTGAGGTAGGTTAATCTGACAGACAGTGACTGGCCCAAGGTCAGCCAGCAAGTTTCCATGGCAGAGGGAGCATTCAAACCCGGGTCTCCCAGATCTGACACTTTAACCACTACACCAAATGCTAAATCTCATCCAATGTTCAGAAGCTAAGCGGGCTTAGCCCTAGTTGTGCACAACTGAGGCTTGGGTCATAAGCAGAGGTATACATTCAGACCCCAAAATACCCAAAAAAATACCTTACCAGCAGTGTTCCCTCTAAGCTGAGTTAGTGTGAGCTGGCTCACAGTTTTTTAGCCTCCAGCTCACACATTTTAGTCTCAGCTCAGGAAGGACGGCTCCAGAGCAAACTAATTCATGCGGTATCCAAATTGCATGCTCACAACTTCAATACCAGTAGCTCACACACTAGAATTTTTGCTCACAAGACTCCACAGCTTAGAGGGAACATTGCTTACCAGTATTTTTCAGGTATTGCTTAAGCTGAATACAGATCAGAGAATCGGATCGGCTACAGGTATAATTGAGCCCGAATAAAGCTGATTTCCCCCCCAGCTTTTATTCAGCTATACCAAATGGCAGGTGGGCTCTTCTTGCAGCTCAGTTTAAACCAAGCTGCAAGGGGAGCCAGCCCTGGATTGTCTGGGACAGTGGGAGCGGAGAGCTCTGCACCACCTCGGCTGGCACTGGCTCCTCTTGCAGCCGCTGCCCCAGCTGATGCTCTCTTGGCTCCCCGCTGCATGCAGACCCTGGGGCCAGGTTCACCTGTGATGCAGCCCTCCCAGCCAGGTCTGTGTGTGGCGGAGAGAGACCTCCCTGCCACATGCAGATCCTGGTGCCAGCTTCTCCTGCAGGATGGTTTAAACCACACTGCAGAAGCCAAGCCAGCCTCAGGGTCGGGCTGGCTTTCCCCCCCATTGGTGTTTTTCTTCTTGGTTCTATTGGGGCTGAAAAAAATTGGGATTTCTGAAAAATCCTGGATCCAAATGGCATACTGGTATTGGAGTCTGGGATTTTTGGGAAATACCAGAATTGTTCGGGTCCAATAGACCTGAGCTAAAAAAATACCGGGGTTTCTTTGCACACCCCTAGTCCTAAGACTTGATTTTGCTTTTACGTAGGTTACAGAGCAGCCTTCCCAGGTAGAAAACAAGCCATAAAATATTAACTTCCTTATAAGTAGCATGCTCAGAGGTCCAATTTGCTACCTCCAGGGGCAGATATAGCACCTCAAGTGTTCAACCCTGTGCACATTTGTGAACAGCACCGAGTTCAGTGCAGCTTATTCTCCAGAGAGTGAGGAAACTCCGGAGCACTGAGCTACTGAGGGCGGTAGAGGATGCAGCACAATCAGCACCTCGAAGCCCTTCATGTCTGATAGCGGCAGATGTTTGAGAAGGTTCAGTTGATGGCAACAGAGGGTCACTCCGGGTCCAAAACACTGGAAGTCAAAACCAGTAAAATCAATTCATTGGAAAGGGTGACTGATACATACATCAGCCCGAGAGGGGACTTTCTAAAAAAAATTAGAACTGCACAGGAACGCTAACTTACACCCTACCATTCAGTACAAGGAACCTTCCCCTGCAGAAAGCTCTGTACTTAACTGAGTGGATTAAGTTGATCTCAACCTGTTAGATTCTGGTGGGGCTGTAGCACAGGTGCCTGTATCTTAAGCATGTGTTCATTATTTGCACACATCACGCACCATCACAGGACATTTGTACACTTCCTTGTGTATACTTCTGCCTGGTAAACGATTAAAAAGGTAAAGGTTCCCTTGCTCGAAAGCCAGTCGAGTCCGACTCTAGGGTTGCGGTGCTCATCTCCGTTTCAAAGCCGAAGAGCCAGCGCTGTCCGAAGACATTTCCGTGGTCCTGTGGCCGGCATGACTAAACACCGAGGCGCACGGAATGCTGTTACCTTCCCACCGAAGTGGTACCTATTTATCTACTTGCAATTTCTTGCTTTCGAACTGCTAGGTTGGCAGGAGCTGGAACTAGAGACGGGAGCTCACTCCGTCATGCGGCACACTTGGGTCTCGAACTGCTGAACTACCGAACTTCCACAGCCTGCAGTTCAGCGTCTTAACCACTTGAGCCACCGCAGCTCCATGGGTTTTTAATAAACGATTACAGCCATCCTTATCCCAATTTACCTGCTCAGTCTGAAAACTGCACTACTGTGATGACCTCTGTAATTCGCATTCACTGTGCCAAAACATACACTGCAAATGTGAAGTGCAGTAAGATTCTTCTGTCTTTAGGGAGGTTGAGTGTGCAGTTAGACAGCAGAAATCTTTGCCTCTTTGTCTACCTCAATGTGCTGCCTTTGTGCACAGTAGGTCAGTAAGTGACTGCACGAAGTAACCAACAGGTGCGAAGGCAAGAAGCGACCATGTTCTAATAGGATCTTATCTAAGATTACTTCTAAAAGGCAGGTTTTAGAAACCAAACCTGACACCTGCTAGGATGCCAGCTGGAAGTCCAAAATGAAAGTTAAGGCACCTGGAGGGTTACAATCGCAGGAGAACAAGCAGAAGACAATATACTTCTGAGGAAATTTGTTTTATGCTTATATTTTCTCTCTCTCAGACTACTCAATCAGAAGTACACAAATTTTTCTTTAGAACCATAAAAAACACATTTTTCATAGACCTGCATGTTAGAAACCATCTGGCTCCTCTGAACTTATTGCAGCCTGCTTATTTTTACTGACATTTTTTTTGGGATGCCTTGGAAATTAAGGTATATCTCATTGTGCTGTGACTAGCCTGAGCCCCATTTTCTTATCACTCTGTGCTCTTAGTCCCTCCGACTAGGAAAACCTGAACGCATGGATTTCAGACCTAGATGGTCTGTAAGGGCCATCCCACTGGTAGGACTATATAAAAGATTCTAGAATACTCACAACAGTATCTTGCAAGCTTCACTGTTCATTCCACCCATTGAATCATAGTATGTGACGCTTTTTTTCCTGTAGTCTATGACCTAAAACAGACAAAACACACAATGATGGCATCCTTTCATGTGTTTTCCCTCTCCACGACATTTTCATTCTCAGCCTTTTAAGCTATTTTCGGCTACATGGCTTCCCTTTTCCACTGCTTCTGAGACACCCAGTTCCCACTGAATCCAGCAAGACATTCTATACAGGATGCTGATTAAAGGGCCTTAAAATCCCACCTCACTTCCTCCCCTCACATCCAGCCGGAAAAAGGGGTTCTGGAGAACTCAAAAGCCTACATAACATGCTTGTATTCTGCTTGTTCTTAAAAATTATTACATGGCTTTTGCTACAGACTATCATAATTATGTACATTATTTACTTATCTGGTATATTTAGGACATATATAATATACACATCTCAGGCATACATTCAATAGGATGCTTGTAGCTGATGGCCACACAACTCTGTAATGTTAGGTTTGATTCTTATCTGCTGTGTACCATTTTTTTAAGGGCCTGGAGAAGAAATCTAGGTTTCTTTTCTGGTTGTTCCTGAGCACTTCATTGGAATTTGGAGCATGTCTGATCTGACCTAAGAAGATCTATGAGCAAAGGAAATATTCTGCATTTTGATGAGTTGCCCATGCTGGATTACAAGACAATTTGATACCTCTTACTCCATGAGTGAACATCTTAGTGTGAGTAAGGTCTGTTCTCTGTATGGTCAGTTTTCTGTATTTAATTGTTAAGTTAACAGAGTGCTCAGTTTGATTTATACCACTGAGGATTGATTTATACCACTGTCGAAATGTGTATCGTATTGGCTCTTGCATGATTTATACCACTGAGGAAGGCCTTGTGTCAAAATGTGTATGGTATTACATTGCATATGTAAACAATATGTACTTTTAAACCTGTATTTTTGTAAATTGAAATTTGTCTTGATACTGGGATTAGGTACTTATATGTTGAACCACGTTTGTTGTTTTTAATAATATTTTGACAGTTCTATATACATTAAATTAAATACCAGTGCTTTGTACATTTGTAGAACATTCATAGTTATATTTTAATCTCTTTTTCATTGTTTCAACCTCTCTGGTTACCCTTCTTGTGCAGGGTTGTATTTTTCTTCCCTTTTTTGGTTGCAATGAGCTGACCACCCTGGGGTGTTCCTGGATTCAGCCTTGGATTTTTTATTTTTAAACAGGCAAATGCTGTGGCCAGGAATGCTTTCTATCATTTACAAGTGATTCCAAAGCTGACATCCTAGCTACAACGATGCATGCTCTGTAACCTCCAGACTGGACCACCGTTAACATGCTGTATGTGGAGCCGCCCTTGAAGGTAACTCGGAAACTGCAGTTATTGTAGAATGCAGCCTTGTGCCTCTTAACTAGTAAGGGATGCTATGCATGTAAACTACAGATTGCAGGACTACTGCACTGGCTTCCACTGGATTTCTGGACTCAATTCAAGGGACTAGTTTTTACCTATGAAGCCTTTCACAACTTGGGAGCCACATTTCACATACCAGAAGGAATGCTTCTGCCAGTCCATGTCTGAGTGACATTTAAGATCAACACACTGTCATCTTTTCATGGTTCCCTCTTTCTGGGAAGTTTCCCTTATCTTCTACCGGGGCTATGGGTTTTTTCTGTGATTACCCCTACTTTACAGGACACCTTGCCAGAAGTGGTGCATACCTGGCCTTCTCTGGCAAGATTTAGGGAGCTGCATGAGGAAGTATTATTCCACTGGTATGTTGAATTTGAGTTGACATGCCCAGTCTTTACAATGGAGAATTGCCTTTTTTGAATTTAAGGATTCTGATTATTTATTTATTGCACTTATATCCCACCCTATCCCACAGTGGGCTCAGGGCAGCTCACAGCATGGATAAAATACAAGCAATATATAATTAAAAACCAGTTAAATAAAATAGGATGGCAGCTAAGAAACATCCCACTCCAGAGCAGTCCAATACGCCTCCTGTTGGACATTAGCAGGATAGTAGGCATCTGTAGGCTTACTATGGACAGGGGAGGTTGAGATGGTGGAAACATCCACTGCTTCAACTAAAGGGCTGGAGGAACAGCTCCGTTTTGCAGGCCCTGCGGAACTGTAACAAGTCCTGCAAGGCCCTGATCTCATTTGGGAGTGTGTTCCACCAGGCCAGGGCAAAGAAGGCCCTGGCCAGTTCTGAGACAGTTTAGGGTTTAGAGTATGATTTGAAGGAATGTGTAAATTAATTAGCTTAGTTCTAGACCAAATATTCTGGTTTGGAGTTTGTGCAACACTGTTTTATTTTAGATCTGATATACTTTAATTGGGATTTTTATTTGTGATATGGGTATATGTTTTCCTATCTTTGCAAGTCGTTTCTGCTGTGAAGAAGTAGGAAACAAATGCTTCAACAAATATATTCTTTAAAAAAACCAAAACCATACTCACCGCTAAGCACCAATGGACACCAAGGTGAATAGGCACCAACAAGATATCTACAGAAAATATGTCCACTTTTTTAGTCCAACGTTTTACAGCTTGGTAACCGGCAGTTTTTAACTTGGTGAAGAAAAACGTGTTAAATGCGTGAACAGTTGGAAACCCTTTCTGTTTACTTCTCTCCATCAACATATTCATGTAGAAATTGATGATCTGACAGGGAGGAAAAAACAAATGCCGTTAGCCAGCTGAGAGGAAAATGGTACATTTTCAACCTGACCTTTTACATTCATAGAAGTACGTTTGTTTGAACACTGGGACAGTCAGCGGTATTCAGCCTTGCTGGCTGCTAAGCCTGCTGCTCCAATAACCTCTTCTAACAAAAACACAATTGCTCATTAATGTAAGAGCTGTAAGTACTATGTAGACTGTTAAGTATTCTAAATGTTATGCAGCTCTCACCTGGATAGCCCAATCTCGTCAGAGCTTGGAAGCTAAGCAGGGTCAGCTCTGGTTAGTAGTTGGATGGAAGACCACCAAGGAATACCAGGCTCGTGACACAGAGGCGGGCCATGGCAAACCACCTCTGAACGTCTCGTGCCTTGAAAACCCTGTGGGGTTGCCATAAGCCAGTTGTGATTAATAGCAAAAACAAATAAACAAAAAAGTTACGCATGTGGATTTGCAACGTTTTAAGATTTCAAAAAATGCAGGTAATTTTGACAAGGGCCAAGGAGAAAGGGCAAGTGAACCAAGAAGTAGCCTGGTATGGCAGTGACAGCTACTAAAGCCAAGTCTTGGATTTGATTCACGAAGCTGTCTAATACCACTTCAGACCACTGGTCTAGCAAGCACTGTCCACTCTGACTGGCTGCAGCTCTTTTTTTAAAAAAACCCATTTTTATTACAATAACTTTACAATAAACAACCAAAAAAAGATATATACAGCGTAATAATTGCAAAGCTAATACAATAAAATGAATGTTGTAAGTAGAGTACAATATAAAAAACCTTATTTACAACCTTCTTTGTGACATCCTTTAATTACCAAAGATGCAAAATCATTTATTATGTTAGGAATCGCTTCTTGTTGCGTTACCATATTGTTGGATGTTGGATACCGTATTGATATAAAGCTGGATAGTGTTTCTTGAGAAAATGTATCTTCTAGATTGTTATTTTAGCCATTACATATAGATTTCATAATTTTTATGCCAATTCTGTTTAGTCAGACTTGAGCTGTCTTTCCATTTTAACACGATTGCATTTTTTTGCTGCAAATAATAAAATGGTATCTCTCTCCATAGTAGCTATTGGATATGACTTCCTCATCCAAGCATTGAGGGAAAATATGTTCTGGATTAAATTCTACATTATTCCAATTATCTGCTTTATTTGTTTTAAAATATCTTCCCAGAAGGTTTTTAACTTAAAGCATTCTAACCAACAATGTAGGTAAGTACCTTTTAGTCCACACTTTTTCCAGCACACTGGATTAGTTGATGAGGTTATAGAAGCTAATTTTTGTGGTGTTACATACCAATGTGCAGTGGTTTTAAAAGTTTGTAGTTTTACATCTAGGATATTACCACGAAAAGGGGATAATGCACAAAAGCTTTGCCATGCTTCTTCAAATATTACTTTACCACAGTCTTTTTGCCACTTTATCTGGTATACTAAAGAAGGAGTTCTCTCCGTTTGAGTTAAATTTGTATAAATATGTGAAATTAGATTTTTTTTATATCTGACATTTTTAATAAATTTGTTCAAATTCTGATAGAGGCTAAGAATACCTGAAAAAACAGATTTGTTGTCAGAGACGCTTTAATTGTAAAAACTGAAACCAAGATATTGAACTGCCCAGTTTGTTTTCCAGCAGTGCAGTGGTTTTAAAAGTTTGTAGTTTTACATCTAGAATATTACCACGAAAAGGGGATGATGCACAAAAGCTTTGCCATGCTTCTTCAGATATTACTTTAGATTTTGCCACTTTATTTGGTATACTAAAGAAGCAGTTCTCTCCGTTTGAGTTAAATTTGTATAAATATGTGAAATTAGATTTTTTTACATTTGACATTTTTTATAAATTTGTTCAAATTCTGATAGAGGCTGTTTAAGAATATCTGAAAAAACAGATTTATTGTCAGAGATGCTTTAATTGTAAAAACTGAAGCCAAGATATTGAACTGCCCAGTTTGTTTTCCAGCACAGAATTCTCCATAAGGTCTTTATTATTTGAAACTAGTAAGCAAAGCCCGTCGTGGCGGTAGACGACGGGCCCTAGATAGGAAGGAAGGGCGAGTGGAAGGGAAAGCCTAATAGTATTTGCTGATAGCATACCTTTTTGATGTAAAAAGTTTGAAATCGAGACATCTTTGGTATTAAAGTCTTTCTCTTATTGTCCCAAATAGACAAGGATGCTAGTAAGAAAGGGATTATACCCTATTTTGTGAGGACCTTCCAAGGGTGATTGCCAGATGACTTCTTGTATTGAGTATAGGTAAGTATAATATTGGTCAATATTTATCCAGTCCATATCATTATGCTGATTTAGCATTTTTAGCACATTTGATAAGTGGATGGCTTGATAATATATTTGTAGATTTGGGAAACCAAGTCCACCATCGGAAGTTCTCTTGCATGAAGTAGTTATATTTATTTGATGACACTTATAGGACTGGCTGCAGCTCTTCAGGGTCTCAGGTAGAGGGTCTTTCACCTCACCTACTACCCGATCCTTTTTAAACTGAAGATGTCTGACGACTGAACCTGGGATCTTCTGAGCACAAAGCAGATGCTCTACCAAGGAGCCGCAAGGGCATGAAAGGCTACAGACTCGAACATGCTGTGGTGTAGGAACAGGTGTGGGATGTCTAATCCAGTGTGCAAAGAGGGCTGAGGGCATCTGTAGAAGAAAGAGGCAGGAAGGCGCTTAACCTTTCCCCTTCCTGCCAGTTTTCTTCCAAGACTTCCTCCAGCTGCTGCTCCCCACTTGCCTAAATTTTCAGACAAAATGATGGGGGACCTTATGGGGTGCCAGCAGCTCAGGCCTTGGCAGCAAAGAGAGTTGGAGTGACATCTGAGCGTGCCTGTCAATGTCACCACGGGGCGGAACCCATTTTATGTGTTAAATTTACAGTGTGATTTGGTTTATAGAGATGCTGCGTTCAATTCTCTCTTTCCTGCTATCAAAACAAAATCCCATGGAAAACAAGCAAAGCTGAGAAAGCTTGGTTTGCCTATTTTCACTGTTTTCATTTAAAACTAAAGTAGCTGGCCAGTTGGACCCAAGGCCTTCTTCAGAAAGAGTGATTTGTTGATGGTGATTTTTACAGCCTTCTGTGACGGATGGGCAAAGGACCTGCCCCTTTCTGTCAGTCACCCACCCCCTGTCTGGTGTGTTTGCAGAGCTGGTAGCAGCCAATCAGGGCCTAGAGATGGCTGAAGGAGCCAGATGAGAGGGGGAAGCAAAAGATAGGGTCTGAGCCTTCAGACAGCTACGTGAGTTATGTGAGCTGGCTCCTACTGCTTCAGTGAGATTTTATGCAACCATCACACAGCTACAGAAAACAAAGCAACAGCATTTAGGCATAGGATGATGACACAGAGGACGGGGTTACCTCATCATTGAGCCAGTTGAGGTTGCTTAAGGTGTGAATGTCTTTTCTAGTAATTGTTAATCGGAAGGCTTCGCTCAGGACTTCGTCCTGGTTCCCGCTTCGCAGCACGCTCTTTATTTCCCTTTCCATCTCCTACAGGAAATAACAGGGATGAAAACTTCCGCTGCTTTATCCCAAGACCTTAACTCCAGCTCAAAATCAGATTACTAGTTAAAACTGCGGGTAAAAACCTCATTGCAAATAAAAATAGCTTCAAAAGGTAGACAAGTGGTGTCGAATCTGGAATCACACTCTTTGTGCCTTAATGTATGCTCAGTTACAATGCAAAAACACTGCTTATTTCAACTATGGTGTGTGCGTGGGCTCACAGAGGATCACTCAAATGGCCTTGACAAACGCCCGTTTCCTTGGTTAGAGGGACTGCAAACAAGAGGCGGCAAAAGGAGAGCTTTCAGTTTTGAGCTGCTCTGGCCAGGATTCAATATAGCCCAGGAAGTATGTGCAGGGATGGGCTGGATCTTGCAGCAGATTTCTGTGAATGGGGGGGGGGTATTTTCACCATTCCCCTCACCCACTACAGACCTCTTGCTCCTTCCTCACACTGTTCTTGGGGTGGGGGTGGTAGTATTCATTTGTTAATGTAAGTCTTAGCTGTAGATGAGTCTCATCTAACTGACAGGAGTTGACAGTTCCAGAGAGTCATCCTGACCGGAATAAACTGGTTCTGTTCTGTTCAGCCTTGCACTGAGTAATAGAGTCAGCATGACTAAGCAGTCTGATGTGATTGGCTGATATTTGTATAAAGGTACTGATGCAGTGTACAGTGTATTCCTATGATGTTGTACCTGTTGTCTGCGGAGCACTTTGTTCATGCTACTAACAATTGTGGAGCTTGTGTAAATAAACCTGTAAATAGTTTTATACTCAGCTGCCTGGACTATCTTCTTTACTGGATACTTACAGCTACTTACATCCTACTGGTGTGGTCAGGCAACGCCACACTAACGGGGAGGGGAGGTCCCCTGTCCCTGAGGATGCATGCATTTGGGAAGGGGAGTTTGCACTGCATTGGGAGGGAGGCGATGAAGAAATATGTTTGGCTGATGAAGATCCCTTCCATCAGTGGAAATGTTCCATAGGATTTGAGCCGGTATGTCTGTATTTGTGTGTCATGAGAAACTATAGTTACGGCTAATGGAGATCAATATACCAACGTCAAACTTTAGTTTCCGATCCCACTTTAAAGTATCCCAATCAAACACAGTGTTTGAATGAACACAATAACCGTAGTTAGTTAATTAAACCATGGCTTCACATGTCATTTGAACAGAATTGCAGAATTGCCCAGCTATGAGTCTTTGTGATTGGCCATAGGCTTATACAAATAGTTTCCCAAAAACATACTGGGGTTCATAGAAAGGAGAGGGCCCTCAGACATCAGTTACTGTGGGGCCTCAGAATAAAATGGCATATGTGGTATAGGATCTAGGAGACCCAGGTTTGAATCCCCACTTGTGCCATGGAGGCTTGCTGGGTGACCATGGGCTCTCTCACTCTCTCTCTCAGCCTAACCTACCAGACATTAATGAGAATTAAAATGGAGAAGGGGGGAATGTTGTAAGCCACTTTGGGTTCCCCATTGCGGAGAAAAGCAGGGTATAAAAGAAATAAAAAGAAACATTCCATTTTTATCTTAAGTCTTTTATACCTCACTTTTTTCTCCAATGGGGACCCAAAGTGGCTTACAAAAGTTCTTCCCTTCTCCATTCGTTATCCTGACTAGGCTGGTGAACTGTAGGATTCATTTATCGAACCGAAGGTGAATTTGTAAAGCTTTGCATTCAATTTCTTTTTCAGTGGATACAATTTTTATTTCTAATAAAAAAATAAATAAAATAAACAAAAACCAGGGAGTCAAAAACACCCAATAAGACGTTCGTTGTGGCCCTGGCCTGGATAGCCCAGGCGAGCCCAATCTCGTCAGATCTCAGAAGCTAAGCAGGGCTGACCCTGGAAAGTGCTTGTAAAGGTGACCACCAAGGAATACTAGGGCCGGGATAGAGAGGCAGGTAATATCAAGCCACCTCTCTGAAACATCCTAGCCCCAACAGGGGTCACCAGAAGTTACCATAATTTCCAGGCTCACAAGCACACACACACACTAAATACTCATCCCCCCCAAGATATCTACTGTGAACACACAAAACTGCCTTCTGTGAAATCAGACCCTTTGTCCATCAAAGTCAGTACTGTCTACTTCGACTGGCAGCAGCTCTCCAGGGTCTCAGGCAGAAGTCTCCCATATCACCTACTGCCAGATCTTTTAACGGGAGATGCCAGGGACTGAACATGGGACCTTCTGCATTCCAAGCAGATGTTCTACCACGGAGCCATAGCCCCTCCTAATGTGCACTCCTGTGTGGTCTTCTTTCACGAAAAATAATTCCTGCACACAGAAAGCTAGCATATCAGGGAGAACAGGCAATGCTACAGTAACTTCTGCCAAAATCTAGTTTTCGACATCTCATGCGTAGCGAGGGTGAATGCATATCTGCACATGTCTCATTCTTTTCTGAGACCCCTGGTTTTCACTAAGACCCTCAAGCCTGCCAGCATCAACACAAGACTTACGTCAGTGAGTTCAGGGAACTCCTCTTCGCCGTCAGCTATCTTTGGTTCTTCTGGGACAATTGTAACAGGAATCTCCTTCTCAAGAGGTACTCGCAGATGTAGGTTTACTGAATCAGGTATTGAAAACTCCTGCTTCTGCAGTCTCTGCAAGGGAGATTCTTAAGATAGCATAATTTTATTTTACAGTTTGGCTTTCTCACTTTTTTGGGGGGAATGATGGACAAATAGGGTTCAGCTATTAGATTTACTTAGGGTCCAAAACAAAGCTTAAGTGAAAAATAAATCAGTGGTGAAATCCTACTACTTCCACTGAACGTGGATTAGTTCTGTCCCTTTCTTCATTTTCAGTTTGCAGGTCAGTATTTAATAAAACTCAAGTCAAGGCAGCCTGGCAGCAACAGTGAGATCTCTTTTCTCATGGCCTGCAGTTGCATCGATCATTATTATTCCTAGCAAAGCAGGACATTGGAAAATTGGGCAGCCTTCCCCAACTCAGTTTTAAGTCCAGCGTTAATTAAAAAAACTGAGATATGAGTTTCTCACCTGGCTCTGCAGCTGTAGCGCCAAAGCCTTCTGCTCTTCTATTTGTCTCCATCTCTCACGAGCTCGGGAATCATACACGCTGGTTCTTTTGTTATACAGGAAACAAAGTGTTCAGCATTAGCAATGAACATGAGAAAAGTTTGAACATGAGAAAAGTTTATGAACATTCTCATTAGGAAACCATATTCACATTATGAAACCAGAGGACACCAACGATCTCTAGTGTTTCAGTTACTTCACTTTCTACCTTTTAACAGCACAGCCGAACTAGTAACTGGTTTCTGATGATTTCAGAGAGCCACAAAACGGGTTATCTATCTAGGTACCACAAAATTACCTAGGCTAACTGAAGGGCTTAATTCTCTTTCTGTAGGCAGCTGTGACAAGGCACTGATCACCAAATGAATGGGAGAGGGAAGGACGCCCAAAGAAAATGAAAAACCTAAGTCACATCACCAGACCGGAATTTGCATTTCAGGCTGGTTCTCCTATGCAGAAAGATGAGAGGGCAACGAAGTGGTGGAATGGACTGCGTCACTTCAGACTAAATAGGAGATTCCAGCTTTGAATGTTCTTTCGCATTACAAAACCCCCAAAAAACGAAACTTGACATTATTCTAGCCAGAGCTGCCACCAAGCCCACTTCGTTAGATATAGGAGGTAGATCTTCGCATTCAATAGGCATGGAGGCAACAAAGTTGTAAAGCGCACATGTGTGTGTGTGTGTGTGTATATACATATATATACATTACTGAATCAGGTATATATATGAGCTGCCAACAGAGAATCCTTCTCATACACCTTACAAAATGGGCTCTAGTCCAGGAAAGCTTTCGCTGGAAGAAACACAAGTTAATCTCTAGAGTGCTGTAAGATTCCCACTTGCTTTTCTGCCACAGACTAACATGGCTACATAAACAAGAGACAGTAACAGTGGGGAGGAAGGCTTCTACACCTTCTCTTCGCCTGCTGCACTGACGTCCTGTTCCTCTACTTGCATTCTGAAAAGAGGCGGTCCAACTCTTCCATCCCAGCTCTCTGCCACTTCCCTGCCCTGAGTGTGTGATCCAGACCACACTTTCCTTGTATCAGGAAGATGATAAAGACCTTTTGGTCCCAAAACACCACACACGGTGTTCCTATGCACCGGAAGCATATAGGGAATTCTTTTTGTGACAGCTCCAGCCACTCCCTGAAACAAGCCATGATGATGTTCAGCTTGAGGAGCCAAACTTTCCCCTACTTGTGCCCCCCCCCAATCCTCAAAACATCTGCCTAACAACAACAAAAAACCTGTAGAAGAAAGCAAGAAGGAAAGCCCCAAGGTTATTTTGGCAGTAGCATGGCTGCATTGGCAACCACCACTACAGCTTGGAAGAACATGCTATATGTTTAAAGAAAAGCATAACACCCAAATCCACCCTGTCCTATTCTGAATCAAAGCAGTAAATACTCAAAAGAAGAAAACACTTACAATTCTTTGATCCATAATTCGGCCTGGAAGAAAGGGGTACTGAAAGAGAGACAGAGAAAGAGAAGGAAGTGTCAATATTTTGTCTGCGTGGGATACAGGAGAGCGCTTTAGCTGAAGCGAACAGAAGAACGTACTCAATGATTCAGTGCCATTACATGCACTGCTGCCAGATCAGGAGAGAAGCATCACCTCAGAACGATATTGGGACCTTAAGAACCTTATGGGAATCAGAGGATGTGATGGAACCAAGCTTGTCTACTTGGCTGACATGCCAAGGAAGGAGCCAACTGGGATCCAGCGCTGTGAAGCCACCCCCTGAAGGCACTGGAAAGCAGGCTACGGGAGCAGACTGAAGCAGGAGCAAGAGAAGAGAACGAACCACCCCAGGCAGAAACCCAAGGAAGAGATCTCTCACACATAAACCAAAACACTGCGGTCCCGATCCCCTGTCCTCTGCCTCCCCCCATTTCACAGTCTGAAAGCAAGGGCACACATAGTTGCAAAGCTACCAAAAAGGAAAGGGTGAGGGAGGGGCTGGATCCAGGCAAAATTTTCCACTCGTGCTAGGCTCTGCGGTTGGCGCAACAGAACGTTCCTGCCTTCCCACCCTCAGGACAGCATGAGAGCCAAATCGGGGGTCTGCAGCGGGAAGGGGAAACTGGTGGAAATGACCCCACCCACTCCCATCAGCTGAAAATTTGGTCTGGATCCAACCTGAGGAGTTGGTACTGCAGTTCAAGAAGCTCTGCTTGACTGGGATCCACCGTCCCTTACCAAAAAGGTCTGAGAGCTGGCTGCTGTGGGATCAGGACTTTCACCAGCCAGCTGCCTTCTGCCGCCACACCTGCCATCAGAGCAGACGGCTAAGCCTGCCCCAGTCACTGGGCCTTATGGAAGGCATTCAGAAGGATAGGTCTCCTCCACCTTGTTCCCCAGTAGTTCCTGCCCTTGGTCCCCAGAATTTGGAAATGCAAGTTGGGGGGGGAAACACAGTAACACTAACCTTGGGGCTGGAGGTTTGAAATCTTTGCCGTTGAGCATTATGACAGAGTCAGACCCTGAAAGGAGCACAACATTTGACATTCAGTCTCAAGAATGAATGGAATAAGGAGCTAGACTGCCTTACTTTGCCAAAGCAATGGGATATGGCCTTGAAGTCTGTACTGCTCTCTCCATGGACCTTGAGACTCATTCAGCAAAACATTATGTTTAGACTACACTGGACACCACAGCAACTGTTTAGCAAAAGACTGAGTAAAGTCTCTAATTGTAGGCATCATAACTCACAGGACAGGTCCCTTAAAATATATGCTTCGGGTGTGGTCCATTCATTCTTTTTTTTCTGGGAAGGAGTTGTCTCATATCAATTTTGTATTAGAACGTTCACTGATTTTTGAGGATGTCCGTGTACTTTAAAGCTATTTGCCCATCTCTTGGAGTGGATATGTCAGTGGACATGGATTCTTCGTGCCCTTACCACAGCTAAACGATTTGTACTACAACTTTGGAAAGATAAAAGCCCAACTCCAGTAAAACAATGGATTGAGGACCAAATATCAATATTTGAACACGGCATGTAGAAAGCTGTTTGAAAGCTGTTTATAGAAACTTATGGGTAGATCTAACATCCATGTTGCTGTATTTTTGTCTTGTCTTTATATCTTTTTCTTTCTTTTTAAAAATCTCATTTAGTTGCTTGATTTTAAGGTGTGGAGTTTTTTCCTCGTTCTTTTTTCCTGTTTTTTTATAAGAAAATTTCCTTTGAAAATCAGGGCCCCGTTTTTATTCTCAAGTGGCACTTATAACAGAAGCTGCTTTATTCGTATTCTGAGAGCTGTGATGGACCTGGGTTCAAGCTCTTGTTGAAATATTTGTTGTTTTAGGTGAGTGCGGGCAAGCCAGATTTAGAATTCAAACCGGAGCAAGCTTATTAGGAATCAAGCCACACTGAAACCAGGAACTGCTAACATATCAGCAACATGTGGTTTGGGGGTGCAAATTTCCCATTTGAAAAACGGGGATGGCATCAGACCACCTTACAAGATTATTGTGAGGAGGAGTGGAGATACCAAACATGAGTCTATAGATAATTTGGAAACAGAGCAGGGGTGGGGAGATCACATCATTCAATTCACATCTATTGTTTTTACCTTCAGGTTGCACATCCAAAGAGGGTGTGTTATTCTGCTGAATCGGCGTACTGCTGTCTTTAGGCTCAAAGGTAAACCGTGAAGGATAACTACCTATGAGGCATGGCAGTGAATTGTGTGAGTGCTGCTCCTGAGTCCTGGCAGCCCCAGGCGGTGGGTTGCCTGGAACAAGGCCATACACTTCGGCTGGCTTCCTACTCTTGTTTTCAGGTTCTTTCAAAAGGTTTTTACTGGAACTCGCACACCGTGGCCTGAAAAACGAAACCAGAGATCAGAGCTTCCGAAAGCCGACTGTGAACGTGGTGTCGCTGACAACCAGCTACAAAGTGCATTTCCAAGACTCACAGTTGGAGAGAGAACAGTGAAGAGGGCTTGGAGGTGAAGAACTTTTTTCCTGTAACCATTTGGAGCAGCTGCCTGTAAAGTTCTTTCTCTTCCTCTCGAACAGTCTAGTGAGAGAGGAGGGGGAAAGCAAGAGTCGTTTTCAAGCAACTCACAAAATTGTGGATTAATGCAGACGTGCAATGCTTTGTCACACTTAAGCAATGAAATTACATTTTAAAAAATGGGTTTGAGCCTCTGTAATAGATGCTGAACTGTAATAGATGCTAAACAGCAGACCAGAAGTTCGGTAGTTCAGCAGTTCGAGACCCGAGTGCCGCAAGACGGAGTGAGCTCCCGTCTCTGACCCCAGCTCCTGCCAACCTAGCAGTTCGAAAGCAAGAAATTGCAAGTAGATAAATAGGTACCGCTTTGGTGGGAAGGTAACGGCGTTCCATGAGCCTTGGCCACATGACCATGGAAACGTCTTTGGACAGCACTGGCTCTTCGGCTTTAAAACGGAGATGAGCACCACATCCCTAGAGTCAGATTCGACTGGCTTTCGACCAAGGGAAACCTTTACCTAATAGAGACATGCTTAACATGGATGAAGGTTTGCTACTGTTTGCGGTTCTTCAGCTCTGACCAGCCTCTAACGTGATTCTAGCTAGTATTTTGATTCCTGATTAAAAATGTACAGGACAGCTAAATAAAGTTGAAAAAGCAGGATAACAGTAAATCTCATGAAGTTGGAGGGTCAGATGTACAGGGTGGCACTGTTGCCCTTCAACAGCCCAGAGGGGAAGTCCACAGAAGCAAACAATTGCTGGCAAATGTGTGCATCCAGCCACCACACGTTTTCCAGTGCTGCTCACAAAGGGGGAGGGAGTGTGATTTTTCCAGGTTTCTGTTACAGAACCACGCCAAGTGCTGCCTGCATCAGCTCCCAGCATTCTCAAACCAGCCCAGTATAAAGGACGTCAGCGACCTGAACCACTTGCCCACAGCATGCCCATTACAAATCCAGATCTATTGCAGGCAGAAATATGCAGCCGAAGATCTGGCTGGTTGCTTCAGATCAATATGCAACTTTGGCACTTCTCATTCTAGCAGTTCATTGGTGCACCTCTCTTTTCTGCTCTCTTTTCCTGAACCTTTCCACCTCTCCACCTCCAACATTTCTTGGTTGTATTCCCCTTTCCCGGTTCTCTTTTCTTTAGGACCCCACCTCCATCAGTACTTCCCTGTGCCTTCTACATGCCCTGACTGCAGAAGCAGAGCAACTCACCCAACGATAGCTAGAGATCCCAACAAACCATTCTACCCTTTTGTGACACCATGCTACCTGACACAATCACTGCTAGAGGTTTAACCATCACCACACAGTGTGCTGTAACACAGACGATTTGTGAAAGAGGCTGGCGTTTGGAGACCTTCCCCACACAAGAAAAGCGTCTTCTGGCATAAGCAGCGCAAATCTCTTTCGTTCACCTCTTCTGCCGTACTGATGAACCTCCTCTGGGACTTCTTGGGACTCAGCATGCTTCGACGGCACGGCGTGCTCCACGACGGACTGCTAACAGGCTTGATGGGAAAGGATTTTTCATAGGCAGAGACATGGCAATGATGGTTTGATTTCCCCGCAAAGGAATTTGATGTCCCACTGCAGGAAGAGATCAGTCTGTTAGTCAATTTGGCAAGCATGATCAAAGTATCGCTTTTTAAAAATCTAGAATAGGTGCTGCACACTCAAGCATGAAATCAGAGCAACTGTCTTCCGCGTACTTTGGTGGGGAAAGCTGATTCCCAGGATCATGGATCTGTATAGACTAACAGCCATGCAGGTTGGGAAGGGAGCCTGCAGTGCGGATGGGATGAAATCGCCTTTCCTGCCACTTCTGTCTGAGTTCCGCTAATGGAAGAGGACAGAGAGACTCTTTCTGCTCCCTTACCCCACCACATTGCAGCCCTACCCACATGGCTGTCAGTCTCTGAAGGTTCATCAATCTTGGGACTCAATTCTGCCAGTTTGGATAGGATATCGGGGTGGGGGGTGGGGTAGAACTGCAAAACCCCTCTGCTCACGTATTACTGGATTGAACCTACAGAAACTAATCTGCACCTAGTATATAAATTAGGATGCACTTATTTAAAAAGTGAATCTGAAGATCCAAATGATAAAACAGAGTCCTCAACTGAAAACTGTATTGCTCCCTGCAGCTCCCTGCAGTTTACATATTAAGCCACCAGATGGGGCTGGATTACTGGATTTTACATGGAAGCAGACAGGAGCTGAACCTGTACGCCACCCGCCACACAACCAACCAAGTCCGTACAAAGCAGGAGGCTGTGAAGGAAATGTGAAGCATGGTGCAGGTGGGTGGGGAGGTCATCCTCTGCCCTGTCCTTTTTATCCTCGTGACATCATTTAGGTTGTTTATTTCCCAGAAGAGGCTACATCTCATTCTGGAGCCCTACTAAATCTCACACACACAGAAATTCCTCCCAGAACGTATCCCCCCACACTCTCAGTCATCACCCAATCACAGCACACACATCTCCCCCTTATCACCATCCTTGCATTACTGCAGTCAAACTAACATTTAAAGGAACACACACACATCAAAACAAGGAATCATTACAGGGGGTATCGAGCCAACAGTACAGCAGAAAGTTTTCTGGTGCACCAACTTAAGCAGTTTGCCCTATGTGGAACGTGTCGCCCCTTGAGGTACTCATGTTCATGCCTACCAAGTTGGGTACCAGCAGTAGAGAAAGTTCCTAAGGCATGGGACATAGTTTAGGTGAGACTGTGGGTGACTAAAAGGAACCTCCACATGCACAGGCAGTAAACCTCTGAATACTAGTGTGAGAAGGCAACATCAGGGGAAAGCCTTCACCTCTATGCCCTGTCATTGGCCCTCCAGCGTAACTGGTTGGCCATTGTATGAGACACAATGTTGAACTAGATGGACCACTGGCTGATCCACTGGGGCTCTTCTGATGTTCTTAACAAAAAAAGGGACAGAAATACTATTGCAACACATGTCCCTTTGGGTTTTGAGTTTAGTTTAGGAAATCCATCACTCTCTGCTTGATATCTGCCCACTGGGTGAAACCCACTTTCCTCCTATACAGTGAGTAGGGCCAGTTGTGATTTGTGATGCACACTGTAAACTTGGTAGCACCATGGAGTTGCTGTGAGCTATTGACACTATACTCGTACCTTACACAGAGGTCAATTATTGCATGGAAGGTTGCGGAAGGGATTTTTAAGCTGGCCAGAAGTGACTAATCTTGTTAGAACAAGAAATCTTGTTAAAATGTATTGAATTCGATAATGCTTGTAGTAGCTCAGTCAGCTTATCACTGAACACTTTTAAAAATCTTGTTAACATATATTGTCGGTGGTAATTGTGCAATGGCAATGCTTGGTGGTCATGTTCAAGGGGCTGCACTGATTAGAAATGCTGTTAAATGATCTCTTTTTTAAATAAACATTTATTTAGTAGCACCATGGAGTTGCTGTGAGCTATTGACACTATACTCGTACCTTACACAGAGGTCAATTATTGCATGGAAGGTTGCGGAAGGGATTTTTAAGCTGGCCAGAAGTGACTAATCTTGTTAGAACAAGAAATCTTGTTAAAATGTATTGAATTCGATAATGCTTGTAGTAGCTCAGTCAGCTTATCCCTGAACACTTTTAAAAATCTTGTTAACATATATTGTCGGTGGTAATTGTGCAATGGCAATGCTTGGTGGTCATGTTCAAGGGGCTGCACTGATTAGAAATGCTGTTAAATGATCTCTTTTTTAAATAAACATTTTATTTAATTTTTTTGCAACAACAAAGAACAGTGTACAACAATATTAAATGATCTATTTGATGACTGCAAAGGAGTAACCGTATTAGTAAACTTTAGTAAAATAAAACAGAAGTACTGTGACACCTTAAAGACTAACAACATTTATTTCTATGAAAGGTCAAAGAACTACATGTTCGTCTTTAAGGTGCCTCTGGACATTGTATTATAACCCTCTCTGACCACAAATACTGTCCAATATCACACTAAGACAACAGTGTTCTTGAAATAGTAACAGGTTAGTTTATGATTTGCAGCACCCGACACCAAGAATGTAGACATACACACTTCATTTAGAAACTTGTGTGTCCTGCACTGTACTATAACTGTAATGGAAGTTTTCATGTCTCACTGAACTTGAGTTTTGACTTATTAGAAAGAATAATGTTAATAACGCCAAATAATAATAAGAGCCAGAGGACAAACCAAGGACATCAACCCATGTATAGGGATGGGAGAAGGCATTCCAGAAGTCGATCTGCCATTAGCTTTACATTTAAAGAGCACAATGAGAATTACTGTGGGGAAAACTAACTTTGCTGGCCAGAAATTACTTAGCCGATGAACTTATGAATGATTTTTACACTACCATTTTAAACTTTTTGTTATACTGGGTATCCATTATGAATATAGTTTATAAGAAGTATGAAACTGTGCATACCTTGAGAGTTTGCGAGTTTCAAAATATGCGCTCCGACTTGCTCTGGGTTTCTGCAAAACAGAACCATGGGTAGGAACGCAACTCCTCCACTGTCCATTGGCACTCGTTCCAAATGTTCTTAGTGCTCCCGCAGCTTGATAACTCTCAGGGGATGACATTTCTGCCAGGAAAGAAGTACTGAACAGTAAGTGAGAACCTAACAGACTTATATCCAGGTTGTCAATTACAAAACAACATAACCTTCTCAAGCATCACTGGCCTCCAAAAGAGCTCTATTTAGAAACAAGCATCTTCTTACATGGTGCTTTATTATCTTCAAAGTGTACAGCTGTTTGTGCTTCAAGTAGTATTTGCTTTATTTACTTTGATGTGCTGCCACTTTATACAGCCATGAGATGCAGTGATTAAGAGTCTCAGACTAGGATCTGGGAGACCCAGATTTTAATTCCTGCTCAGCCGTGGAAGTTTGCTGGGTGACCCCAGGCCAGTCACACACACTCTGCTTAACTACCTTCCAAGTTCGCTATTGTGAAGATAAAATGGAGAAGGGGAGAATGCTATAAGTCACTTTGGGTCTCCATCGGGAAGAAAAGTCGTATCACCGAAGTAAGTAAGTAAATAAATAAATAAGAGTGAGTTAGGGTCCAGCTAGCAATTTCTAGCTAAGATCACCTCAAACTACTTCATGTTTCATAAACACCCAATATGCTTTGATGAAAATGCACTTTTCCTGTTTAACGAGATGGCATGACTCAACAGTTACAATTGCAGCAAGGCAGCCATGCCCTAGAACTGTGACAGAACTAACCTCAGCATAGGTACTTTCACCCAATGGCATTGTGCTGCCATGATCTGCAGCCCATTTTAAAGGAGCCCTGGACTGAAACCAACAGAGCCTGTCTCACCTGAACAGTAACTGAGACTACACAAGGCATTTGCAGTTGGACCAGGGAAAGGTCTCTCCAGACTGCCAAACTTGTCTGATGGAAACTGAAACAAGGAAAAAACAAAATATATTAAAAGAATAAATCAGATCCATTACACTCTCAGGTGTCACACTAGCATTATGCATCTCTTTAATAAAGGTAATTAACTGCAATAATACAAGCATTTCTACATATTAAAACGTTATAATATACACAGGACCTCTAAAATTTTGCAACCTGAAACATGAAAGTGTCCTGTAAGCAATTATGTAATTTTAGGGAACAACACATGTAGGATGCATTGCACAATTCAGGTGTGGAAATTGTACTTCTTTATGACATAATTTAGATTTGGACTCTTATGGAGAAGGTAAACAGGGCAGAAGCCATTCAGAGGAAGATTGTGGTGTTTTGCCATGTAAATATCGTGTGCGTTTTATTTCTATGTTTTGTGGAATTTTATATATATATGTTGCTGTGATCTAAAATGCAGGCCTGTAGAGTAAGAAAGGGGGAGACTGGATGGGATGTATTATGAACAGATGGTAGCTGTACCAAAAGAGGCAGAGTTGACTGGTTTGTTCTGAGAGGGGAGGAGGGGGAGGGAGGAAGAGAGAGACAGAGAGAGAAAAAACTGTGTGGAAGTTACTAGCCTTGGTGGCAAGTTGGGAAGTTAAGCTGTGTGGAAGTTATTGGCCTAAGTGACAAGTGAGAAAATATGCCCATGTGGCTAGGTCTATTTAAGGAACTTCAAAGAAACAAGAACATTACCCTCATCTGAAACTATTATGCCTATCGACTCCATTAAATTAAGCTTATTAACCATACACAAACCATTATGAATAAACTCCATTTATGTTTAATAAAAACAACTGCTTAGTTTAGAGTAAGAGATCCCCTTTTACCTCAGAGCCACCCCATGAGCTGAGGACCATATACAACTAAGCCATCCTGTTCTTTGGGTAGGAGCCTTTAGTGGCAGCGAAAACAAGGAAGTCAAGGAAGCAGCACAATACACATCACCTCAGAACACTACAGAGGGGTGCCTTTACAGAAGTTACTCATAAAGGGATCACACATGAGAAAGAGAAAAACATTACAAAGGTGATGGAAGGACATAGCATTTCAGACGAAAACAGTAAAAAACGGTCCTTTCTCAGCCTGCCAGAAATCACCATAAGCCTCAAGATACTACGAGTGGGAACAGGAAGTGGGCCTTAATATTGGATATTAGTTACCTAAGGAGAGTTTGATGGAATTCTGTGGTGGCTGAAAATGCTGCAGAATTCAAGAATCCTATATACAAGTTCATCTTGCATGAAATCATTTGGATAGATGGGAGTGACACAGATATTTTCCCAAATTAACCCCTCATAAATTTTGACTTTGACCCATCAGAAAACAATTAATTTATAAGCAAACCTATGCACTCATTCACAAAGATGCACTCCTCACCTTGTTGCCAGACAACGGAACATGATCCCCCAAGAGAGCATCTTGTTGTAGAGGATGGGCGTTGAATACAGAGGTGTGATTAGCTAACGCATAATCTCCAGCATCCATCTTCATCAAATCAGCAGTTTCATCTGAAAGAACGAAAGCTTCTCAGTGCGCGACTCTTGGATGGAAAGAGACAATACCCAATCCCAAGATGGCTCCAAGAACCATTTAAACCAACGTGAGATGAACACAAACACAGGCATACTCTTGCACAAGTCCCCATCGCAGTGGGACTTGAGGAACAGAAAAGGTTCTCCCTGGACTATGAAGTCCTGGGGAAACAGATGCTCCAAAGCAGCTTAACAAAATATGCCATCCTGGACTGTGCAAAGAACAGCTGTGTGGAAAAGGAGGCAACACAGGAGCTCCCTCCCCATACTTATTAATTTCTTCATGTGGCAATGAAGATAAACTTGACAAACCAATCAAACTATCAAGTATTCAAGTAAGCTGCAGTATAACATCTACCGACACAGACTGAGTGAGCAGCTTTCACTTTCCAAAATGCAATGTACATTCTCTAGAAAGGTAAGTAAAAACAAGCCAGGCAATAAAAGTAATCCCTGTCCCTTGTTTGTAAATGGATTCAATGGAGTAGCTTTGCAGCAGCAGTACAAAGACTTGTGCCATTAAACTGAAAGCCTGATAAGCGGAGGTGAGAGGATGACTCCTCACTTGCCAGGAAAGCATCCTGCCTGCCCCCTTTACTGTTGCATATGGCCAGCATAACATTTGCAAAAGCCTGCATGGCCAGATGAAGACTAAAAGACCCAACGTGGTACAAGTAGGTCAGGTGGAAGACTACCCTCCCTCCTTGCCCCCACCGGCAAGGCAACTGCCGCAAGCATTGCTACAGCAAGGATGAGGAAGCCACTGGTGAAAGACTGATGCTAAAGCCGGAGCAAAGGCATAAGGCAGGTGGGACTCGGGTCTTGACTACAGCTATAAAAGCCATCATGAAAAATACTCACCCATTGCGGAAACTGCTCACATAACTGACAGCTGGCTTAAACTTCAAATGCCTGGAAAGAAAGCAAGATGTGGAAACAAGAGTATTATATAAAACAGGCACTCCAGTTTTCTCTAATTCTAGCAACCCTGTTTCCTGAATGAGAAGGGCAGAAGAACAGCTGAGGAAGTCTGGGAAAAACAAGGATTTTAAGAAAAAACGAGAACAAAGCATAACTATGAGGTCAGTGAATGAAAAATTAGGTGTTTACTTTCCCAATGAACAGAAAAAGAAAGTGCCTTTTCAAACATTATTTCTGTCCTTTGGAAATTTAGAATCAGAATCAGAGGTTCTTTCAAACACTAATTCTAATTAAACAAGGGTACACTGATCATTACATTAGCCCATGGACATTGCTGGATTATTGATTCTGACTGTAGCATCACATGCTGTTGACGTTCCATGCTATACTGCAACATTAACTATATTAAACTTTAGCTGTACAAACTCACCCTAGCCCGTGGGATAGTAGTGGGGCACCAACAATGATAAATTGCTTAGGTAAGGCAGAAAACAATCACTGCATGCTACATAAAGAAATAGAGAGGTGCCATGGCTTCCCACCCTTGGTTCTTCACTACTTTCCCACATCCTGCATGCACATCCTTCCTCCTTCCTGTACCTGACAACCTCATTACTCAAGGGGGAGGGAGAGAGACCTGTTTTGAAATCATTGTTATACTGAGAGCCATTCCTATATGTAAAGCAAATTACATGATACATTTGTAACACCCAATAAGTAATATTTTGCTTTGAAAGCAGCTAGCAGACATTTATATTCTTCTGAAAATGCCTATCCCCCCCCCCAATTCCTGTTACGAAGCACCTTTTTTCCCTCATGCATTTTACATTTCCAAAAAGGTTAGATTCCTCTCTGGTAAGCTATCTGAAACTGCCCTCAGATAGATACCAAATTTTCTCCCTGAGTCAGCCACACTTTCCACCCAAAACTTCTCTGCACAAGCACTGGTGCCATCTTTCAAGTGCATCAGCAGCTTGTGCCAGATCCTGGAACGGTAAACTATAATCCCAAACTCCCTTCCATTATGCCTGCAAGACACAGCTGTTGGGTGGGATCCTACCAGCTTTTCCACTGGTACAAGGCGAGTGGCCTCGCCCAATTCCCCTCCTTATTAAAGTCCTGTTTTGTGAAACTTTCTGTCCATGTGGGTGCCACAATCCCATTGATCAAGGCCAAAAGAGTTCTCTTTTCCCTCTTGCACCAGCAGAAAAGTTGGCAGTATCGAATAGCCCTATCTTCTGTACCTGCAAAAAGATAAGAAAGCAAAGCGCATGCACATGGGCCCGCTTTACTGAATCACAGCCCTTACGATAAGGATGTTGGCGTGATTGACATCAAGAAGCCATGGATTCCCATGCAACACCTCCGAAATACAACTTATTTATGCTGACATCATCATAACATGCACACTGCCACTGAGAGACTGGAGATGATGAGTATACTGCTTTCTTCTTTGATGTAACTGAATATTAACACCAGAACTAGTTTTTCAGGAAATCATCACTCCATCTACTTGCTCTGCCTACAACGATTTTGCAAACAAATGATCTACTTAACTGTGTCCAAGATAGGTGTCAGTATAAGGAAGACAGGTAGCACATGACACTCCGCTCCCCACCTCTGGCATGCCCATTTTGTTGTCCCAATTAGAACAGTTAAGAGATTCCCACACATACACACTTTTAAAAGTCTATGGGAATGTTCCCTGATTCCATGCTGCGTAATGTGACTTAACTGCCGTGGTGCTCTTGTTTAATTAGAATTAGTCCATGACAGACTAAGGCTACAATCCTCAGAATGCTACCACGGGATTAAGCCCTATTTAATAAAATGCAACTTACTTTCCAGTTGTCCTGTTTAAGATTACTCCCTATGCAACACAGCCTATCCTGTCTTCTCAGCAGTCTGAAAGGATAGGAAGGAACTGGGCGTATAGAGGGGAGACAAATGAGTAGATTAGGTATCATAAAAAATCATGTGCTTAAGGTATCACAAATAGAGTCAAGAGATGTAACAACTCAGGACTAATGTGATAAAGTTAGAGCAGTAGTCACTGCTACAGAGGGATCTACATGGCTTCCAAGCAGCATGGAAAAAGAAGGCAGGATGAGCGTAATGGGAGGAAATCAATGGGGGTGGGGATGTAAATGGGAGGAAGTGAAGCATGAGACAGACAGGAGACGGGCAGGGAGTCACCAGAAATAAGCAGAGATTCAGGTTAGCAAACTGGAGAAATACAGGAAGGATGCCACACAGCTAATTAGCATCAGGGAAGAAAGCACTAACTAAACCCCAAGAAGAAAGCATGTACAGAACTTGGGTTTCAGTTATCAAGAATATGAATAGCGAGGGCTATATCAGGTCACGTTTAACAAGAATCATAATCTCGCTCTTGTATCTCACCAGGGTTCCTCACAATGAAAAAAACTCAATAAATACAAAAATTTTCTTACAATAAAACACTCACAAGAGATATGTTGGATTGGAGCTATTTGTTTTTTGTGGCCACAATTCCATATTTATTTTTTGAACAAATGATACGTTAATAAGATGACACTGAAATGGATAGCCTGAGACTGCTTTTTCTCCTTTGCTTGCAGTGAATTTATTAAAGATATAAACAAATGTAGGAAACACTCAGACATACATTCAAGGCAATGGTTAACGCATGCTGAAAGTCTCAAATTCAATTCCTAGCATCTTCATTTAAAGGAAAGAGGTAGAAAGTGATGTGAGTGACCTAAGACCCGGGCAGTCATTACCAGTCAGAGCATATAATACTGATCTTAACAGATCAAGAGTCTGAGCCCCTATAATGCGGCTTCATATATGTTTGTGTGGTTCAATGGTCATGCTCACTTCCTTCTACATATCCCATAGCACTAAATCTACATAAAATATATTCCTAAAGCAAGGTGAAAGTGGTTTCCAGAAACAAACATAAAAATACAACAAAATAATTTAACGGTTGCAAGGATTTGGTTTTAAAGTATAAAAACCACATTGAAAACAGCTTCAAGTGGGAATTAAAGAAAAAAGTAAGATGAGGCGGGAGGGAGAAACAGACATGCTCAAGGACCTGTTGTATGCTAGAGATAGATGGGGGATTGCCAAGTGATTTACCCTCTCACACGTTGTGATTTATAGCATCATTTAGCATTTATACAGTGCTCTGAGTGCTCAGCAGCACACATGCACACAATTCTCAGTATTTCATTTAAAATAGTTATAGCCTCCGACTTTCAGTTAGACACTTACATAGCTCAGTTTCAGAGAGCAGCCACGTTGATCTGCAGTAGAAAAGTTAGACTAACAAGATTTTCAGGGTATAAGCTTTTATTTATTTGTTCAATTTATACCCCGCCCTCCCCGCCAAGACAGGCTCAGGGCGGCCTTGAGAATCAAAGCTCCCTCCATCAGACTCAGCAACTTTTACAACAGCCTTGTAAAGCAAGTTAGTACTATCATTTCCATTTTCTAGCTGGAGAGGCTGCGAGAACAGAAAACAGAGTATAATAAGCTAATATGTATTTGGCCTTTTATCACCGGCTGTTTTTTACAGTGATCGTTTCAGAGGGAGGTTAGACTGCTGAAAGCTAATGCACCAAAATTCTTGTTGGTCTCTAGAGTGCTACGGGACTCCAATCTTGTTTCGTTGTCGTTGTTTTGGCCTAGTGCTGTAAACCCGAAGCCTTGAAAGTCTTGTACGGAAATGTTTTTAACATAAAAACAAAGCCAGATTACAAATTCGCGGTAGGGTCCACCAAGCCTCCTTAAGATCATGCTAGAGACAGCCTAGGTGATCCGCAGGTGGAGCTCTGTCAGGCCTGCTCGGGTGGGCAGAGGATGGCACCTGACAGGTCACTGGGGTGAGGCCGCACGAAGGCTCTCAAGCTCAGCCTTGCCCTGCCAATCGATTCTGTCGACCTCTCCACGGCGAGATTTTTGCTCCACCGCTTGGAGATCCTGAGAAGGATGAGGTCTAAGAAGCCCGAGACTCCGCCTCGGTTCTGCTCAGATTCAGAATCCCCGCGTTTCTGGTGACAACACGAGGCTGGGCACGAACGCTCAAAGCACCCTCGAAATGCTATTAAAGCCATCAGTTCTCGGGGCAGAGGCGAGACGCGAACTACCTCACAACCCGCCGGGCTCAAAAAGGGGGAGAAGAGAGGGAGGAGAAGGAGAGCTACCCCCATACAAAGAAAAAGAGAAACGAAACAGCGGAGAAAGCGAAAGGAACCAGGAGCCGGCCTCAGAGCTTGATGTTTGGAGGAAAGGAAGAAACACCAGGCCAGGGGTGGTTCCCATGGTTATTGTGCTCCCATTCCCTTCTTACCGGAAACAACGACGCTGGCCGAAAGAACTGAGGCGGACAAAAACTGAGACGCCTCTCCCTCATGAGACTCCGTTCTGTCTTTCTTTCTTTCCTTTCCGACCGGATTGGAAGAGGCGGGAACGTCAAGCGAGGCGGAAGCGGAAGCGCCTGTCTAGTGGCGCTCGTGCCTCCCTGTTCCGGGCCCCTGAGCGCATGCGCGTTCTATCGCCACCTCCCCCGGCAAAACAGAAAAGCCGGCCGAAAACGGAGAACAGGAGGGGGCGCGGCCAAAGAAAGAATCCTTCGCGCACGCCGCGCCGCCGGGAGGAAAGCTTGGTGATGCGCATGCGCCACTGGTAAGATGCTAGGGTCTATTGCTTTAAACTGAGATTGCTTTTAATCGGGGTGGGTTTCACGAAGCCGTGTTTCGGAGAACGTGTGGATCCGGGTTTATTCTAGTTTGGGGGGAGGGGATGGAGCCGTGCATATATTGCCTGCTGATAGCTTTTAAGGATTACGTAAGTGGCTGGGTCAGACTGCAAATGTATGAAGGTCCCGTGTTTTATCTTATGGGTAGCGGAGCCTTGCAAGCGGAGCATGCATGAAGCGTCCCTTGCGGTTTGTCTCCTTCCCGGGTGTTGCATTCAAAAGCATGCTGCAGTGCTACATTGATGTCCCATTCAGTTGCCTTAGTTGTGATAACCCCTACTCTTCTGTGAGTTCGTCCAGTCGGTATGTCTAATAGTAAACTGGCTGGTCCTCCACTCTCATGTGAATTACGCAAGCGACAAACCAGACCACCCCGAAGAAAGGTGCGTGGGTTGGCTTCTTTGTGCATATGGCTGCTTGTGGTATATCCCGGGTATAATTAAAAAACATGATGTTTCAAATTAACCGAGGGGAGAGAGAAGCTTGAATAACAGCCTGAAGGAGAATGAAAACTGCTCCAGGAGGTGGCGGCGGCGGCGGCTACAAACATGGGTGGCTTCAAGAGGGAATTGGATAAACGTATGGAGTAGAGGTCCATCAGTGGCTATTAGCCACAAGGTATACGCTCGGTCTGGGGCAAGTGATGTTCTGTATTCTTGGTACTTGGGGGGGGGCAATAGTGGGAGGGCTTTTAGTGTCGTGGCCCCACTGCTGGACCTTCTGATGGTACCTACTATTTTTGGCCACTGTGTGACAGAGTGTTGGACTGGATGGGCCATTGGCCTGATCCAACATTGGGTGTTCTGTTCTTAAAATGCCCTACGAGGATTGGGCTGCGGAGGGGAGTTCTGGGTTCGGCCTGATGTAGCGTGCCGCGGAATGTAGGGACAGAAGGCTGAGACTGGGCGAATGGACTGTACCACTTCATACTGCAGGGAAGGGATTGCGTTGTTCAAAACTGTTCCAGATTAGTAATGCCCTATAAATGGAACATTAGCACAACGTGCAGAAGTCCAGAATAGAACCTTTTTTCATGGCGGGCTACCTTTAATTTGCTGAGATTTCTTACATGGGGCAGCCTTAAGCATGAGGATCTTCTGTCTATACTACACACAACTCCCATACGATAATTAATCAATTAATTGCATAGGCAAATCTTGATGATTCCTGATGATTATGTAGCCAAAGTGGAGTCTCTTTGCTACAACATAATATCATGATGGCATCACATCATCCCCTTTCTGTTCTTAAAATGCCCCACGAGGATTGGGCTGCGGAGGGGAGTTCTGGGTTCGGCCTGATGTAGCGTGCCGCGGAATGTAGGGACAGAAGGCTGAGACTGGGCGAATGGACTGTACCACTTCATACTGCAGGGAAGGGATTGCGTTGTTCAAAACTGTTCCAGATTAGTAATGCCCTATAAATGGAACATTAGCACAACGTGCAGAAGTCCAGAATAGAACCTTTTTTCATGGCGGGCTACCTTTAATTTGCTGAGATTTCTTACATGGGGCAGCCTTAAGCATGTGGTTTCTCCCGTCCCCCACAGTTTGAAGTGGTATAGCCTTTTTTCCCACCTCCGCAGGCACGTGTAGACTGGTCTAAAGGGAAAGGAGGGGGGGATGGATTAGCTGGCTCAAAACCTTAGAAATTCCTGGGGAGAGGGGGGGAGACTTTGGCATTTCCAGGTTGTTCACTCCTCCATACATAATTCCTTATGGGGATCACTTTTCAAAAACACTATCTAAGCTAGCCTGTTGGCCATCTGAGAAAAATATGCCCTGCCCCTTTAATAGAGGCTTAACGGGGTATTATTTATCTCCATGGTCTGAAATGTTTCAACTGCCCATTTCCACGCATGATTTTCCCTCTGTTAAAGGGACAGGACACTTCCCCTAGGTCTGTTGCAAATTCTATGCCCCGGGGGGATAGGAGCAAAGGGAAGCCAGTGTCATTTCATGTACTTCCGGGCAGTGCCAAATTGAGAAGGGGATATGGCAATGTATTTCCAAAGCAAGGATGATGAGTGAATTGTGAATCTGTTAACTTACGACAGCGAGTATGAAATATTGAGTGCAACCCGCCCCCGCAGTGTCTTCCCAGGTGCTGACAAACAAAACGGGCTGGGAGAGCTGAGGGATGTATTTAGCGAGCCGCAGTAGGAGCAAGGTGAAC